GTCGGACGATTGCTGAGGGTGTGCGGCACTTTGGTGACCCTTGGACAAGGGGGGCTGGCTTATTCGCGACGTCACCTCCAGATGAGGGATAAGTCGTCGTTTTGGCATCAAGATCGATGGTGAACGAGCACAGGAGCGAGCCCCCGGCCCTTGCGACTAGAAGACCTTTGCGGCGACAGAGGGGTGATGGGGTGGCGCACGATGACGATGAAATATCTGCAAGGCGTGCCGAGCCGGTGGTCTTGTCGACGACGACTCAACGGTAGCAGTTGATGGAATAAACCAGTCGAACAAGCGGGTTCTTGTGATTCATCATGAGGGTATCGTGAAGCGGAATGATGGCGGTTACGTTTCGCCCAACGTGGGTGACGAACGTTCCACCATGTTATGACGATCAGGGCGGGCAATACGGAGAAAGAGAGGCCTTTTCAGGGGTTTCGGGGAAAACGGCCGAGACAAGATGACCAGGCGACCTTTGCCCAGAGCCGCTCAGAGAGGCTGGATGTGTGTGATCGTAGGGCGCAAGGAATGAGATACACCGTCCATCTTGGAAAGAGGGCCTGTACTGCCTGGAGGAAGAATACGGAAGCAACGGGCGCAGAAAACGGGGCGTTGTCGGACGTTTCGGGCCACGAGGATGCAAACAGGCGGGGCTAAAATGCACCCCTTTGATGGCCCTCAACCGATCATTGGATGATACCAAAGACCACTCTGCCTTCCCGTTCACGCTGTTTCGTGCCCCATGCCCTGTTGCTCCAGGGCCTCAGCCGCTGGACTGGCACGCTGAGTCAACGGACGTTGGTGGGTCCCAGATAGTGACGACAAGCGATGCATGAGCCCCCTGCTGGTCCCCAAGAATATACCAACTCAATGTAAAGTGTAGCGAGTAGCCCCTGGAGAATAGCGCCCGTCCAGATTGAGGGGTTTACTCGACGCAGGAGGCCGATAAGCCAGAACAGACGGCCCAAGGACAGCATGGATGCCGTCCCGGCGTCGCAGGGAAAGGCAAATGGCTTCCGATGTCTCGGGCTCGGGCGGCCAAAGGCCCGAAATCCTGCCAACTATGGCCGTCTTTGACCTCTGGTCTGCATGCAAGAGGCGAAATACAGTACAGAGGCAGAAGGGGCCAACATCGTGCCTCCGACGGCGCTGCTGAGTGGCGCCACTCCGTGCCGTTTCAACTATCCATGCGAGTGAGAACAGAGGAAAGCTTTGGGCTACCTCGCCCAGCCTTTTTCCTGACTATATCCCTCACTTGATGAAAGGCAGCCTATTGTTTGACGGCTGTTACGCTCCAACGAGCAACCCCTGTCACGATACATGTAGTACTTGGTATGTCCCTGGAGCCGCTGCCAGGCACCACTGGTGACAGCTAGGGCGGGCCGTTTGGGTGTTCCCTCACTGTTCCTTCACAAGGCTCCCTGTCGGGCTTGACAGGCGACACTACCTTAGATCAAAGAGACAACCAGCAGGCACCCAAGTCTGATCTGTGGATCAGGTACAGGGGAATATGGGACACGTCGTCCGGGATCCCATTAAGCCTCAAGCCTTGCTGACGGCGACTGGCGGCTGGACAAGCCTCTGTACCCAGGCCCGTAAGACGTCGAGAATGAGCCGAGAGAGAGCACAGCCAGCATGACCGATGTGAGACGCACCGGCAACCGAGGCAACATCATCGGGAGAGTTGCGTCTCGGTTCGTGGTCGATGGGCGATGTGACAGCAGGAGGACTGTTTCGATCCCAAATCGCAACACCCATATGACACTCAATCTCGTCAAACCGGAGCGCTCGACCGCCAGTCCGACAGACGGTATCTGGGCAGCGCAGGCAGGCTTGAGCCATTCGTTGTCGTGTCCCCCTTCTGTTCCCTTCAGTCCAGGACCCGATGCCCCTCGGTGGAGTCGTGAAGGAGGCTGTGGAGCGACTGGTTTTGGGGGTGCAAAAGAATTCCGTTTTATTGGCCGTTATGTGGTCCAACTTGCGCAAAATACGCTCACGGCATGACGCCGGCCTGTTTCGACAAGGCAGCGGGGGCGTTGGACCACTGTGGCCAGTACCCTGAAGCGCCGCTGGCGTCTCCTGTCGGACGAGGGGGCGTCCTCCTAATCGCAAGGCAGGCGGACGTCCAAAGGGCAGGCAAGGGACAATGCCATCATTGCTTCGTCCCGCTTGGCCTCATTGGGAGTAGCACGGTGCCCCTCCGAGAGAAGAGGCCGCATGTGGATTGGGCAAGAGCACGCAGTGCACTCCACCAGGCCTGGCGTGGTCCCACAGTGATGTGCCCCCTGCCTCTTCCCGGCGATGGGGAGGGGCATCGGAGCACTCCTCTCCATTGGATTTGCGTAGTATCTCGTCAATGTGATGCGTTCACTCGAGCTGACGGCGTGCTCTTGGGGCCCTTTTCTTCGCTCTTGGGGGGGGCCTTGCGCCTTGAACCTTGGCGGATCGCCCAAGGCGCAGCCCAGCAGGCCAGCCGCCCGTTCCTGGCCAGCTTCCCGCAAGCCCGTATCTGTCTTTGCCTGGACGTGACTTCCCATCGTTCCCGCCAGATGGCGCTGTCGTCACTGCATTTCTATAAAGTCAGCCGTCGTTCCGCCCCCCCTCCATCGCACATCAACAAAGAGTACTCTTTAATTTTCACATCCTCTCCTCTTCTCTCCAACAAGGCCATCATCTGACTTTGAGGCTCTCGATATCCCACACACCCACTCCCCCACCTATCCACAACCAACTGCACCCCTCACGTCTTCCAACCATGGCGCCCGCTACTACGAAGAAGGCCGTCCACTTCGGTGCTGGCAACATTGGTATGTTCCTCGCTAACAGACCTCAACGCCCTCGGACACCCCCGACTAACATATACACAGGCCGTGGCTTCGTCGCATGCTTTCTCCACAACTCTGGTTACGAGGTTGTCTTCGCGGATGTTGCCGATTCTCTGATCGACTCGATCAACGCCACCCCCTCATACAAGGTCATTGAGGTTGGCACTGAGGGCACCGACGAGAACACCATCACAAATTACCGTGCCATCAACTCCAAAACGCACGAGGCTGATCTCATTGAAGAGATTGCCACTGCCGACGTCGTCACTTGCTCTGTCGGACCCAACATTCTGCGTTTCATTGCCCCCGTTATCGCCAAGGGTATTGACAAGCGCTCCAACGACCTCGCCCCCATCGCGGTCATTGCCTGCGAGAACGCCATTGGCGCCACTGACACCCTCGCCGGTCACATCAAGGACCCCAAGAACACGCCTGAGCACCGTCTTGAGGACCACCACGAGCGTGCCCGCTATGCCAACTCGGCTATTGACCGCATTGTGCCTGCACAAGACCCCAACGCCGGTCTGGACGTGAAGCTGGAGAAGTTCTTTGAGTGGGTCGTTGAGAGCGGTCCCTTCGCTGAGACTGGCCACCCCACCATTGACGGTATCAACTGGGTCGACAACCTTGGCCCTTACATCGAGCGCAAGCTCTACACGGTCAACACTGGCCACGCCACAGCCGCCTACCACGGATACAACCGCAGTAAGCGCACCGTCTATGATGCTCTGCAAGACAAGGCAATTTTGGCGGAGGTTCGCCAAGCTCTAAAGGAGACCACGGAGCTCATGGTCACCAAGCACGGCATCAACCTTGAGGAGCAGCAGGCGTACGCTGAGAAGATCATCAAGCGCATCGGCAACCCCCATCTGGAAGATGCCGTCGAGCGCGTCGGCCGTGCCCCCATGCGCAAGCTGAGCCGCAAGGAGCGCTTTGTCGGCCCCGCTGCCGAGCTCGCTGAGAACGACCTTGGCTGCAAGGCTCTTCTGCGCGCTGCCGAGATGGCGTTCCGCTTCCAGGACGTCGAGGAGGATGAGGAGAGCAAGGAACTCGCCAAGATCATGGCTGAGAATGGTCCCGAGGATGTCGTTCAGAAGGTCTGTGGTATCCAGGCTTCTGAAAAGATCCATCCCATGCTTGTTGAGGTCGTCCGCAGGGTCCAGGCCGACTCTGAGGAATGACTCTCCGCCAAACTGTGAGATGCTTTCTTTTGTGTGTCACGAATTATTGTCTTCTCTTTGTTCACTAGGGAGCGGGAAACGGGTCTTACACGACAAAGGGCGTTTGGGAATCAAGATATCCACATCCTCAACCTCAACCAAGTAGCTGTTGTGTCTTGTCACATCAATAATGGCTTCAACGAGGCAGAAGGATCTGCATGAAAATGCGACAGTAGTACTATCCAAATATGATTACATCAAAACACCACAGATCAATGCGCGGCCTGGATGTGATGTCTCTTATGCATCGAAATCTTGCAATGATGTCGTATAGATTTCACAGATTTTATGGGGACCACAGTGGCCATATGGTGCCGAAGGCCCATGGTGTGAAATAGTGCCACCAACACTTCACAGCGTGCAACGGATGTCCAGCCGAATTACGAAGTATTCCACACCCTATGAGATGTTGAGCGTATCGTAGCTTCACCATCAATACATTTCCCAACACAAAGCCCCTACCGTACCTTCCTACCTTACCTACCTTGCCTACCAGCTACTTGGTGTTTCGGTGCCAGGCAAGTCGCTGTGGCTAACGGGGACTGACCACCTGTTCCCAGCCGCCACAGAGCACGGCGGCCCCTGATGCTGATGCAGGGAGAGGTCCCCACATGGTAAAGTTGATGCCTGAAAAATGGCCTATTCTCAGGCAGCCACGACCTCCTTTGGTGAAGACACATCTGATGAAGGAAGCTCAAGCCAAAATTAAGCCCACCACAGCTCTGGAAGCCAGCTTTCAACATCTCGACTCCCCACAATCACGATACTGCGGCTGCTGTCATCGGCTTCCAGCAGCCTAGCTATCTAGAAACCAGCCATACGTTCAATTTCTCGCGCCGAACCCATGAGACCCAACTAAAGTCAAAACTCGCTGACCGACCAACCCCCACACCAAACCATCCTCCAACTCAGCAACCCCCTTTCACCCTTACCACTGACAACAGTGCGGCCCACCATGAGGATTGACGTGAAGGTTTGTCTTTCTGGGGAGCAGTCCACCTTAACACGCTTTGTCCCTCGAATCGCACATTCTAACTTGGGCACTACAGAGGCAATTGTTCGCCCGCAGCGAGCGGGTCAAGGGCATTGATTTCCACCCTCAAGAGCCATGGATCCTGACGACCCTCTACTCTGGTAATGCCTTGCCCACCTGCTCCTCGATAGGATCTTCTGCTTCGGTGATCCATTGCAAAGTCCCGTATCCTAACAGCACCTCTCAGGCCACGTCTACATCTGGTCGTACGAGACGCAACAGATCGTCAAGACCTTTGAGCTCACCGATGTCCCCGTCCGCGCCGGTCGCTTCATCGCGAGGAAGAACTGGATTGTCTGCGGCTCTGATGATTTCCAATTGCGCGTCTACAACTACAACACGTCCGAGAAGATCACCTCCTTCGAAGCCCACCCCGACTATATCCGCGCCATTGCTGTTCACCCGACGCAGCCCTTCGTGCTTACTGCATCCGATGACATGACCATCAAGCTCTGGGACTGGGAGAAGGGATGGAAGTGCGTCCGCGTTTTCGAGGGCCACGGCCACTACGTCATGGGTCTCGCCATCAACCCCAAGGATACCAACACGTTCGCCTCGGCCTGTCTCGATCGCACTGTCAAGATCTGGAGCCTGGGCTCATCCACCGCAAACTTCACTCTCGAGGCGCACGAGACCAAGGGTGTCAACTATGTCGACTACTATCCCCATTCCGACAAGCCATACCTTCTCACCACCTCGGATGACCGCACCGTCAAGGTGTGGGACTACACCACCAAGTCGCTAATTGCCACGCTGGAGGGCCACACAAACAACGTCTCCTGGGCTTGCTACCACCCTGAGCTTCCCGTCATTATCTCCGGTTCCGAGGATGGTACCGTGCGGTTATGGCACGCCAACACGTACCGTTTTGAGCAGGTGCTCAACTACGGCCTCGAACGCGCCTGGTGTGTTTCCTACCAGAAGGGCAAGCAGGGCGTGGCTGTGGGTTTCGACGACGGTCTCGTCGTCGTGAAGCTCGGTCGCGAGGAGCCGGCCGTGTCGATGGACGCCTCTGGCAAGCTCATCTGGGCCAGACACAACGAGGTTGTGTCTTCAATCATCAAGGGCGGCGGTAAGTGATTGAAATCCTGTGCATAAACTTGGACGCCGTTGTTCCTGACAATGTTCTAGACGCCTCCGTCAAGGATAACACGCCCATCAGCTTGCCCACCAAGGATCTCGGCAGCTGCGAGGTCTATCCGCAAACCCTCCTTCACTCGCCGAACGGTCGATTTGTTGCCGTGTGCGGTGACGGCGAATACATCATCTACACTGCGCTGGCGTGGAGGAATAAGGCTTTCGGCTCTGCGCTGGACTTTGTCTGGGGCGCCAAGGAGAACAGCAACGACTTTGCCATTCGGGAATCGGCCACGAGCGTGAAGGTGTACAAGAACTTCACGGAGAAGACGGGTGGTCTCGACGTCGGTTTCCAGGCAGAGGGCCTCAGCGGTGGCGTCCTGCTCGGTGTCAAGGGCCAGGGCGGTGTGTCCTTCTTTGACTGGGCCAGCGGCGGCCTCGTCAGGCGAATTGAGGTCGAGCCGAGACAGGTATGTTTGGGCGAGGATTCTGTTGGTAGATACGAGGTGCTGACGCTTTCAGGTCTACTGGTCCGACAGTGGCGAGCTGGTCACCTTGGCCTGCGAGGATTCGTTCTACGTCCTGCGCTTCTCGCGTGAAGCATACAATGAGGCGCTGCAGAATGGCGAGGCTGACGAGGATGGTGTCGAGGCCGCATTCGAGGTTATCACTGACATCAACGAGAGGTATGTACAGATTGAGAGATGGAATGAGAGACTACTTTGCTAACCGATGATAGTGTTCGCACCGGAGAATCCATAAGAGGATGATTCATATCACAACAGCACAAACCGCTTGAACTACCTCGTTGGCGACCAGACGTACACGGTGTCTCATTTCGACCAGCCCATGTACATCCTCGGCTACATCCAGCGCGACTCGCGCATCTACCTTGCCGATAAAGACGTCGGCGTCACCTCCTTCGCCCTGTCGCTCCCTGTGCTTGAGTACCAGACGCTTGTGCTGCGCGGTGACATGGAGACGGCTGAGGAACTCCTTTCCAGCGTACCTCAGGACCAGCTTAACAAGATTGCGCGATTCCTCGAGGGCCAGGGTCACAAGGAGCTTGCGCTGGAGGTGGCGACGGACTCGGAGCACAAGTTTGAGCTGGCGCTCGGACTCAACCAGCTGGACATTGCGCTCGAGCTCGCCAGAGAGGCGGACGTCGAGCACAAGTGGAAGACGGTGGGTGACGCTGCCCTCACTGCGTGGGACGTCGCCCTTGCCCAGGAGTGCTTTACGCACGCCAAGGACCTTGGTTCGCTGCTGCTGCTCTACTCTTCGACGGCGGACCGCGAGGGCCTCACGAAGCTGGCGGAACAGGCCGAGGCGGCGGGCGCGCACAACGTTGCCTTTAGCGCGCAATGGCTGGCCGGCAACATCGAGGGCTGCGTTGAGACACTTATCCGAACAGGCAGGATATCAGAGGCCGTGCTCTTCTCTCAGACGTACAAGCCCAGTCTGACAACGGGCGTTGTGGCGCAGTGGAAGGAGAGCCTCGACAAGAGCAAGAAGGGCCGCGTGTCGAAGCTGCTCGGAGTACCTACGGAGGATGAGGACCTCTTCCCCGAGTGGGATGAGTGGCTACGACTGGAGCGTGAGGGTGGTGCGGAGACGGCAGCCCCCGTGGCCAAGACAAACGGCAACGGCGCCGAGTCGGTTGCGGACGCGGCGTCAGAGGACGACGATGAAGCCGCCGAGGAGGAGGCCGAAGCTTCGGCTAGCGAGTAGAAGATTGCATTGGTTGGGAGGTGGTAGTGGGTTGGGACTACAAAAGGCCTAGATGTCATGCCAACGTTTCAAGAGCTCCCGCGGCGTTGATGGTAATGATGATGCGTACTTAGCAATGAACGAAGTGTCTGTTCTGTGATCTGGCATTGCTGGCGTGTCCCTCGTCGAAGCGAGGCATTCTGCTTGCTGTCTGACACCGGCGAAGTCATGCCAAGGCTCACCATCGCATTGACTGCCAAGAATGACGACTATAATAGATCGAGGCTGAGCACAACCAGGCCAGGGCGGGGATGCCCCAGATAGGTGTTACCAACCCCTGGTCGCATCACAACCAACTGACAAGTGCCGCTATCCATGCGATAAGCCACTCACCCACTCTGTTCGTGCGCCAGCATTGGTTGACGAGGCGCCATGCAGCTCAGCTCAGCTCGGACTCGGAGGCAGCCTGATCTGTGCTCAATTGACTCTCTTCAAACAGGGGGCTCGTTCGGCTCAGTGCAGAGGCTGCCAGGGGGGGTATTGGGTGAGGAGGACATAATAAACAAATTAGGACACCGCCTTCTCGATCAATGTCAACTCAATTCAGTCCCATCCTGAGACGCGAACCCCGTGAACTTTGAGCGCCAAGATCAATTACGACCAACGACCAACGACTCTTGGCATTCCTCCGTCTTTTTCTTCTTCATCTCTGTTCACACGTGCTGAACGTCCTTCAAAATGCCGACTGTCGCTGAACCCTCGAAGCAAGCGCCTATGCAGGCCGTCGTTGACCTGGCGTCGCAGAAGACGCTGGACAACGGGCCCATCGTGACGAGACAGCCGGTAGGAATAACCTCTCCTGCCCCAAGAGATCCAGCCCTTCCAAGGCCTCGCCTCTAGACCCTGACTTGCTGCGTTTACTGACACATGGCCGCATCAGACGCTTGAGCCGCGGCCAGAGGCGGGGCCCGCGCTCGGTCTTCGTGGCGGGGGATTATCGTGCGGCTTTGACTGCTGTCATGGAAGCTGTCGCTTCCACAAGGCCTGTTGCTAGGTAGTCTCTTTTTGCGAGGTTGCTCTCCTTTTGCGTCATCTTGTGGTCCTTTGCTGCTCGGGATTTTGGCGCCAGGTTTGCCGCCGGTGTGATCGAACGTTGGCCTTGGGCCGCTGTATCCATCTTTCTATATTCAAATCGCGCTTTGGACCCTTGACCCTCTCGTACTCCTGTGCTGTCGCGATGGTAGTCATCGCGTTCTCTTGGATATCCACCGCGAATGCGACGTCGTGGCAAGTCGAGAATACCATGGTATGTAGAGGGGGAGACTCCTGGGGGTGATCGTGTTCCCAGAGGCGTCTGAGATGAAGGATAAATCGTCAAGCAAGGGCACAGTAGTGACTGCAGTTGCAGAGTGCTATCATCATCATGGCTGATCAATGGGTAGGTGACCGAAAGCTAACGTTACGAAAGGCTCAAGAGAGCCGAGATCAGGGGGCCCATGGATTGTTGGCATGTGCATGAAGGCCACTCATCGAAACGTTTACCAGCAACAGCTCTCTGTGGAAGGTCAGGCTACGTAGGTATTCAAGGGATCTCAGCAGCCACGCGTCGCAATTGCCGCTGTATTCGAGAAATCAACAAAGCAGCGCAACTTTGTGTTGAGAAGCTTTAGGGATCACACTGGCTGCCTGGCCCAGTCATCATGTCTATAGAGCGGCAAGCAATCTCACTCTGTCTGGTGGTCGATCCAACTCTGGGGCTGTCGGCTACCGAATCTTCCGACCAGAAGTCTTTTTACTGCGTCTCAGGATCCCTCCTCATCCCCTTCTCCTCCTACAGGCTGTTTGGGGATCACCACTTTGCCTGTCATAAATCCCTTCTTAAGCCTACTTGAGAGCTTCTGGCACCTCCTCAAACGCATGTATCGAATCTATCATCGTCTTGAGTTGCCCTCTTCCATCCACTTTGCTGTCTGCGTAAGGGCGGCATGCGAGTTGTCAGAGCGTTGTTTAGAGCAGAGTGAAGGTGTCTTCCACAGGGTCCGTAAGTAGTTAGGATAGGAATATATCTGAATTCTAGCCCTCCGTAGCTTAGGGGGCCCTCCGCAGCCTATATATACGTTCTCTTAAGACCCTTACCCCCTGGCCAGCCCCCTAGCTTGGTAGGCCCTTGCTGGCTCCGCAGGGGTCCTGACACGAGTGCTCCAGTATGAGTAGCTTCCATTTGTGCTCCCATGAACGACGGAAACGTGTTTCCCACGAAGCTATTAGCCCAACTTGCCCCGTAAAGCCCACCCCCAAGCGAAGCGTAATGACGTTTCCGCCCCGACAACTTGATTGCACGGCAATTAGGTCGGCGGTGATCCAACGACGTTGTCCACGACGTAGGCAAATATTTGAACCTTATGTTATAGCGCGTTCATGACGTCGACCTTGTGTAGCCAGTGGACTCGTCAGCTCCGAGGGCTCTGGCACAGACCAATTTTGTCCGTCGAGCAGGTGACAGTGACGTGGCATTCGAGGGCCTTGGCCATCTGAATAGCCAAGGACCCGACACCGCCAGACCCGCCGTTGATGAAAACCTTGTCGTCGGCTTGGAAATATGGCGCGATGCTCTGGTATGCTGCGAGAGAGGACGTTCAAGCGGCACCCGCCATCCTTGGGGAGACGCTGAACGACATCATAGCGATGCTCTCATAGATCGTGACCACGTACTCAGCAAGGGACCCTGGCTTCACTGAATACAGGCGGCCAAACACAACCTCGCCTTAGCCGATATCGATGACCTTGCGGCCAACAGCGACGACGTGGCTGCTAAATTCCACGCTTGGTGTTCTAGGAACGGAGTCTGTCAGTCGGGAGGCTGCCCCGAGCTCGACGGGAAAGTAGTCTGCTTCGTAGACGCTGGCGGAAATAACCTGGACGAGGAGGTCTCGCTTGTCTAGGGGGCTTACGGTAGGGCGAGGCATTGTGACTAGTTTGAAGCTATGGTTGTTATTACCGGCCCGAGCGACTTGCGAGGCACGGCAAGTGTCTTTTTGCGAGTGATATATTTGCGATCTCGCTTCCTGATTCTAGGTGCCAGCTGGAGGTAGTGCGCGTGCACATTTGCCTAGCCGCAGTCTCGAAGGCTGGTCGCAAGATTTCCATTTCGAATTGTAGCTGCTCGCCTCTTATAGAGGCTGTTCAATCTTGGAACATGTCCCGCAGCCCCGCCGCTTCATTTCCTTCAGTTGACGATGAACCCATGATCTTGATGGCCGACAACTTCGGGGGAGATTCTTCTGGCCTGCACGCCTGCAGCCTCACAGGGCTGACAAGATAGGAATAGCTCTCAGGGGCCATGACTCGAACATGTTAGGCCATTGATCCGGAAGGAGACGAAAAGCCGTGCGTCCACGGCAGATTTGACTTCATGCTCAGCTGAGCACTTTTGCGTACAGACGAATACCTGACGAGACACCTCAACGCGACTTCCCACCTTCCCCTCGCTTCATCTCCGCTGCTTGAAGTCTTCAATGCCGCAGACAGTGAGCCTCCCAGGGGTGTGCCGTCCCAGAAATATCTGGGATCCAGTGCAGTGGGCGATAATTATGGGCTCGTCCTCCAGACCCGTGGATGAGGAACGCTCTCCTCGCGTGCTACCGTGATGAGTCCACACATGTGTACGCCGACTAGATCCATCGAGTCGCAAGATCCATGTCACGAGAAGGCCACCTCAACAGGGTGAAGTGGTATCGCGATATTGCAGGATCGCCCTGATTGACTAATGAAAATACGATCCGAACAACTGATGCTCGGTCCTCTGCTTCATCACAAGTACAGGTACAACCACCCTCCAACTCAGTGATTAGCTTTAAGCACAAATGTCAACCAGACCAAAGTGCTGAGTACTAACTCCACAGGTTGCTATGTCGTATATCACTGTGAAATGCTTGGTTCAATCACTCGTCCAGAGACAGAGTGCACCACCTTGAAAGCAGCTTTCCCATATCGACGGCCACTCCGGAAAGCTCTTGCCCTTCTCTCATGAAAATGTCTCGAATCTCATTCGTCTTCGGCAGCGCAAAGCCCAGAGGAAGATCCTGCAATTCTTGCTTGGTCATGCCGAGGTCTTCGAAATAGGGCGCTGCAGCAATGGGAAGCGGCAAATTGGACGTCCAGGCGAAAGCCTTGATAGCCTGCAGGATAAATGAAGACATCGGAAAGTCACGCGCGGTTTGCCGCATGAGATACGAGGTCTCAGCAAAAAGCTGGTGGATCGTATGGTCTCCGAGGTAAGGGGCCATCGTGAAGAGCGCGTTGTATAGTCCGCACAAGACAACACAGGAGTAATCACGGAGCGTGAACTCATTGATGTATCGCATCATGTATGTCGTGTCTGTGTAGGCGAGGCCGAGGCAGATATCTTTGACAGTCAAATTGTCCAAAAAGACGGTGTTCGGATCGAGTGGTCGCAGGATGCTGACGAGAACCTCATCCATATATACACTGGGTAGGCCTACGCATCAGCGGATATTCGGTCGATTTGTCACTTTTAAACGACGACTCACCGCAAGAAACAGGTTTGTGGGGTGAAGTTAATGTCTTCCCGCAGGTGCTCTGGCAACGCAACTCTCCACTGTGTTACTTTACGATGGAGTTGTCTTCGAGTCGCGAGATCTACTTCCGAGTCGGCCGTTTGGGATTCACCGCTATTCCAAGACATGGCCTCATAGAGCAGCAGAGACAACTGACATATGTTGTGAAGGATATTGCGTGTGAACGGGGGCAACTGACCGTCGGCTACGTACGGATTGCCGTATAGGTCGATTTTGACACTGGATTGTTCTGCAAGCTCCTCGAATTCGAACACGCAGGGTATCCGTGGCGGCCGTATGAGTGAGAGTTCTATATATACATAGGAAACGATGCTGCTCAGATTAGCTCGTATTCCTCCCCTCATGGCTGTGCAGATGCCGAGACTCTGACCTTTCGTAGCAAAAGAACCCCCAAAGTGCTGTTGAGATGATGGCCTTCTCGCGCTTCCCTTGCTGGTCGTCACTGACGGCTTCGAACCGAGCTTCAAGGTCCAAACGGTGGAACATCTCAGTGGCAGCAAAGCGGTACATCTGAGAAGAAAACAGGTCTGTGAGTGACAAGATTCGCAAAGAACCCGGAGCCGCTTCGGCCTCGATTGAAATCTAGAGCATCATTAAAAAGAACCTGGTCATACCATGCCGGCCCTGTCCATTCCGCGATAAGCGTACAGCGTGAACAAAAGTGCCAACCCCTGCGCGGTAGGCAATGTCGATCGCTGGCCCTCGATTTCAAGCCACTTATTTGCTTCATCGAGGAATTGGGCGCCGAGTTTGCGTCCGCTTATGCCATCGAAAGACTTGACACGCCGAGATGTGTACTGAATGGTATTGTCAGCCCATGAACATGACCCGTGCTTGTACCTGCAAGCCCTCAATGGGGACCTACGCATCGAAGCGCGCACATTGCATTCACCAAAAAAGGAGAACAGTACTGTGATTCTCGAGGGTTTTTGCTGTTTCTCATATCATCGATGAATGCCTCACGGTATACAAAGGGGTAGAAGAAAGACGCATCCCATGTGAAAAAGGAGGATATCAGTTCCGAAACGATTCCGCTCCCGGCGACGGCGGTCCAGGGACGTGCCTCGACCTTGAAGGGGCTGTCGACGAGGGCACCTCTGTCGATGGCCTCGAGCCTCAGGTTGCCCCCTGGGGGTCCGGGAACTCATCGAGCCTGTAGATCGACAATTGGGAACCTGTCAAGGACCGCAGGGCTGACAGGGCATTGTCGGCTGTGCGTAGCTGGTCTAGGGCGGCGTGAGCGTCCGCGTGGGGCAGCGTGCGCAGAATGCGAAAAAGCTCGTGCAGTTGTTCGTTTTCAAGTCGTTGGTTTGCTTGCTGTTGCCTCGCAGCCATAGCTCGGGTGGTGTTCGTCTCGGCGACATCGTAGACGCAGGCCGTCTTCTTCCGCCTGCAGCTGCCGCAAACCGGGCGATCGCCGTCGCACTTCGACTTGCCGCGGCGGCATCGTGCGCAAGCTACGAGCGTCAGCTGGCGGGGTGTGCGGCCGGTGGGCCGGCGGTAAGGTTGTGGCAGCGGTGGACCTGACGAGCCGGATGATTGCAAATTAGGATGGGGCAAGATACTGCGAAAGCTCCTGTTCATTATAAATCGTGCTCAAGCTGTTCGTGCTGCTATGTGACAATGTGCATGGTTCTATTGTGCGAGTTCTTTGACTTGACGGCAGTCGACAGTGAAGCAAGTGAGCTGACATTATGCGGAGGCTCGGAGACGAACAGGCGAAGGAGCTCGTGTGTTTCGATTATGGTGCAATGGACACAGGACGAGCATCGGATGACCAACGACCGTGCTGTGGTGGATGCAGCGGGCGACAAGGTAGCGTCCCGAAGCTACCCAGTTGGCTGCCACACGTTCACCAGGGCGGTGTAGCATTGAGCTGAAAGCTCCCGTAGCACCGCCGGACAAAAGACTCCTTGCAGAAGGGTGTCTTCCCATAGGAGGCTAGCTTCAGCCCTTCCTCAAGGGTCAGTGTGCCTTTATCAGGACTTCCGTGTCGGTGGTCAGGTAAGAAAATCATGGTGTCAAATCCTTCAACGAAACAAGTCTCCGGTACGGTGTCAGCCCATCACCACTTCTGGTACATGAGAAACCCTCGTTTGCGATTCGCTTGGGCCGGGTGAGGAGGAAAACATGCAGCATTGACATCCATACCGTGATACTCATTCCTGCTTGGGGCTGACGATACCCCTCCCCTCTTGTCTTGTCTCAACCTTCTGGGCATCGCCTTGATAAACACATGAATTGTCGACTTGTTTAAGTAGGCATCCCCTGTTCAGTGCCCTAGCTGAGAAAACTCAGATCAGAAAACTCAGATCAGACGTCAACTGCCTTGAGGGTGCCCCGGCTCACACCATTTCGACAGGGGACAAGATTGATACACAAAGGTGCCGCACTGGTTCTTGACCTCTCCCCCATTCCACGAGCACTTCTTCTTGATAGCCTCGAATGCTGGGATGCAAAGGGCATCGACCCGAGCACCCACGGCATCATTGTCCTTTGCACCATTGTCTCCGAAAAGATACTTGCAGTCCCCTGGAGCCTTGTCTGCAGGCTTGAACCAAGCAAAGTATTTATTGTTGTTGATGGGCTCCCACGGGCCTCTCTGCCCGTGACAGCGAACCTCAATGTTCCGATTGGCATTGGTACGACAGACAGCAGCAAAATCTGACTTGTCTGCGTTGCAAATCTTGATCAGTTCATCCATTGCGGGATTCGAATGCTCGGGGCCATGGGTTGGATAACAAGAGGGCTCCGCTGTGGGTGTGCCGTCTTGGATGCCAGTCATGGTAGCCGTTGCATCGGGACAGACCGTTGTCTCCTTGTCGAGGTACGTCGTTACGATCTCTCCGTGAATTTTGTCATCGTTGCATGTGCAATACGGTCCCGAGATTTGACTACCGTAAGGTTTAGTGCATCGGTCGTAATGGCCCGATAGTGAGCAATACTGCTGCGGTTGGGGCTCCTCTCACCTTGACTCTAGTCTGCAGGATGTGACTGCCGTCTGCTTTGGTCTCTTGGTGATGCTGACTGTTTGCGTAGGCATCGTCGAGTATGTGCAGGCCATGTCGCCCTCTCCTTTCAATGTGGGAAAGCTCCCTCTGGTCATGCCCCCTTCGGCACCAGCGCTTGAGCAGTGACAGAACGCAGACGGCTCTGCCCTCGGCTTTCCATCAAACCCGTCGCCGTATGTGTTGCGGAAACACTGAGGAGGAATCACATTCGGCAGCCCAGCTTCAAGTTCCTTCAAGATCTTTTGTTGTTCGTCGGACCACTTTTTGTCGAACAGCCCTTCAATCATACTTTTGGTCCAGTAAACGCATGGGCATCTTTTATTTTCACCCTACACGGGAGGTTAGATATGAGCAGGAAGACGCGGTTTCTGCTGTAGAGAGCAATACTCACGTCGGCCTGACAGACCTTGTCTTTTCCCTTACAATCGGCGTCATCGCAGGCGGGCTTCAGACTTGTAAGCGACGGGGTCCGTTCTTCGAACACAGCTAGGGGCGATACGTACCGAGTTCTCATTTACTGTACCCGAAGGCCCACATGAGGAACCTGTAGTCGTACTTGTCGCCGCCTTCGTAGGTGTGGGATCACCATTATCCCCATCCTTGGCTGAATCGTCCTTTGCATGACCAAACAGACCATCGCCAAAGACGAACTTGTGAGCCACCTCGACAAGGGGCTCAAGACCTTCACTGACCGCCCAGGCCCCAGCAGCGCCTGCAGCAGCAACCATGATCGCAAACTTGTTCTTCTGGGCCTGGGTCTTGAGAACTTGGACCGCGGCTCCGAGGATCTCGGGTGCACTGTCTGCAAGCTCCAGGACGAATCCTTCCCATTCCGCAGGGTTCACGAGCCCCAGAGCTTCGTCATTCTGGGCGGCTCCTTGCATAGCATTGATCATACAACTCATACCTGGTAAAACAAGCGGCGTTAGCACACCTCGTTCTGCTGACTGAGAGTCGTGGCTTACCATCGCGTTTTCCTAGCCTGGACGGAGCAGCGCAGGACGCAGCAGCTTCCTTGATAATGACGTCCAGTTCATTCTGAACAGACTCGGACAGCAGAATAGTGACATCGCCGGCTTTGATTCCCTCCGAAGCCTTGGTGGCAGTAGCTACAGCAAGCTGGGGCTTTACCACAGTTGTTGTCTCCACATTGTTGATGGTGGTCGTTCTTGTCACCTCCGTCAGATAATCCAAATACACACCTATCCACTGTAATGTTTTTCTGGTCAATTTCTTTTTCATGCTTTGACGGCATCCCGGAAAGCTTCATGGCTTGAGGCCATTGAAGCTAAGATTGCCCTCACCTTGGTGGTAGTGCCCTCCACCGTGAGATAATTTGTGTCCACACCGATTGGGGCGGCATAGTCTTGGTGTAACTCAATCACGTTTCCCTGGCGTTTGGAAAGTTTCTCTGGGGCAGCTGTGATTCGGGGCTCCTGAGAATATGCCACACTAAATAGGGCTGTAAGGACGAGGCAGATTCGATGTTGCATGATGCCCGTGGGTAGACTGAAGCAACTACTGGTGCATAAAGTTGCTGGTACAGATCTCAATTGGAATAGAACCAAGCTCAAGAATGCTATCTTCACTTATATTTGTAGTAAAATCGAGACGGATACAATAAATGTAATTAGTTGCTATCGAGTCACACAGCTACTGTGCCATTCTGACGTTGGGTTGAGAAAGCAATGGCACACAAATGCGCCAAGAAGGGGCCGATCCGACCCTACTCTGGAGTCCGACTGATACTGCTACCTGGGGTCTGATTGGCATCTGGGGTCCAAGGCATCGCATTTGCAGTACAGCCTCTTGGGCTTTTTTGAATGAAGTTAACGCCAGTCGTACTGGCTACACTCGTAACCAGCAGATGGCGCCCCTCTTTCAGGAGCCCCCAGATGTCCCCAAGTGACCCGATTCTGAAGCTGCAACCGCCCCGAACTGCCCCCAGGCGTACGCCATCCATGCTTCTATTTTATCAACGCCAAGTAGGTCCATCTGGCCCCTATCCTTGGATTCCATCATCATGATATTTGGAAGGGGGTTTGAAGTTATCTGGCTTTATCGGAAGTGCTGGATACCGTGTCCTGGCACCTGGTTTGGATCTCGCTCTCGCGCTGGCCAAGCAACGTTAGCCCCCAGGCTCGCCAAGTAGAACACATCGGGTGAGCATGCATGAAGGATAATTTGTAGCTGCAGGCCGGCGTCTTGGTCAGTTCTCAGAATTCTTGAGGGCGAATGGCTTTGCAGAGACCTGCGGATGATGTGTAGGCTGCGTTGTTCATCCGCACTGGGCAAGAGATACGAAAGCAAGTTCACGAGGACTCACTGCCTTTGGACAGGGACTTCAGTTGTATTTAAGATACTCCATACCCCAGATGAGTTTAGTCTTGCACTTGCGGTCAAGGTATATCACCTACACACATTATTCTTGAGCCCGAGCCATGAATCCATTTGCATTCCTCCAGCTGAGGCCCATGTCTACACTGCTCATCTTCACGCTTCTTTTCATCCGGCTCTGTCACGCGGGATATGCTCTACAAGACGACTGGTAAGCTGAAGAATCCTCCGATTGTGTGTTCATGTCTAACGCAATGATAGTGAGCAGTCGAACTCTCCTTGCCCTTTTAATTTCGCTCATACTAACACGGCCAGGTGTGGGAGAGCAACGCAACTTTCTAAATGATGCTTTCGCATCCGCATACCGGCTTGCGAGTCTGGCAGAAGGCTTCACCAACGAGAACTTCAACGCAGACGGGACTCAGCTGTTCCAGTGGTTACATGGAACAGTTGGCCTGGATATGATGCGAACGAGTGTGAAGAGTATGACGCAGTCCCGGCTCAACATTTTATCAGCAAGAGTTTAATCGCTGACTTACGATTTGAAAGGCAACTTGGCAGGCATTATGCGAAATGCGGTGCCAGTCGAAGGCGAAGCCCATGGAGGAGATAGGACGTCTGCCGATGTTGTAAGTCTCCCGTCTCTTTACATCTCAATCTGCTATACATCACTTAAATAGTATTGACAATACTTTGAAGCGAGTCTTTTGCACGCACGACCGTCTGCGTGAGGGACGAGCTCGTGAAGGTGGCGGCAAAAGATTGTTCGACCCGGGTAAGAACATCAAGGAACCCCCATCTCAAGTCCTTGGATTCGCCGTCAGAAGAATCCTTTCGCTGACGAGGCTTGGTGCCACCTGTCAGTGACCAAGGAATTTCTCCATGCCAAGTTCGACTGTACCCATGCGCTTGCGTGGACAATTCAGCCGGGCGATCCAGAAGAGCCAGATACTCTACAAATTTGCCCTTGGTTTCTCGACTACGCCATGAAGCAAACCGCTAAGTTCCACGGCACGTATACCCCTGGTAAGATAGCCACTATGATCGTGAACCTCAAGCTAGACAGGCTCGCGGCCTGGGTCAACTATACTCCCGTCGACCTGTTCCAGTTATTTGATAAAGTCATGGTACATGAGGTAAGACCTTCCTGAGAGTCATGGCCGCAGATCAATGGCTGACTGGAGACTAAAGTTATCACACACGCGTCAAGGGGGCAGCTTACAGGACATCGGAGGCTTTGCGGGCTATGGTAAGTGACCGGGATTCAAACCTAGTCTTTATCTTGTTGATCACGTAGAGGAGAAGAGCTCTCTAATCATGACCTAGGCTGGAAGAACTGCCGAAAACTATCGGCTACTCGTGGAAACGACGGACCTCACTGGAATGCTGGTAAAGTTTGCTGTTAAATCCTAGCTCGCCGTATGTTGTTCCTGATCTTTGCTCTCAGATACCATCGCCCTATTCTCATCCATCTCTGGGCTCATTAGGTCGGGTGGTATGATTCGAGAAGATGGTTCATTCCTTAGAGGACCAGGTGATGACGATAGGGACGAGGGAGAGGAGAAAAGGTTTGTGAAGAGAGGGAACCCCCAGCTTGATGTTTACAAGTTGAAGGGAAGACCAATGTTGTGAAAGTACATCTACCATTTGTAGGCTCCACGAATAATAGTGCAGGGCAGCGTTTCTTCCTGTGTTGAGGCAGCAGCAGGAAAAGGCAGCGTGACTTCGAAGAACGAGGGACGCGTAACCTTTTTAATCGAACTCAGGATCATCGACTCGCGTTCCGTCCATTCGTGTTCCCACGCCTGCGCCGCTGGGTTGAGCCTCAAAGCAAACTTTAGCCAAGCAAGTCCTTCCATGGCAGCAAGAGCATCCCATATGCGAAGCCAGAGAACTTCATCTTTTCCGGGGTTTTTCGACTCAAGATACAAGGTCCGATATAAGTCCCAAGTCAGGTTGACGTGGGAAATACAGGCAACATGAGTCGTCGGCAGGCGGTTGTACAAAAGCGGAAGACTTCGTGGCGATTGCGAAAAGTCAAACAACGTTCCGCGATAAAGAGTATATATCCATTCAAAATAACTAGTCAATCGTTAGCCGAGGGAATTCTTTCTAGGTATTTCAAATAGTACATCTTCTTGCACGTCAAGAGAAAGGAAACGTGGTCACATTGGCTCCTGGTGCCCGGTTGAGAGCACGCACCGCGGTAGTGAGGGCCCCACGTGGACGTGTCTTCCAGGTCGACTTGGGTGCATTCTTTGGCGCGGATTCTGTTGCGCGATAGATATATGTGAACGGCATGGTGCTCGCCAAAGACAGACTGCCAGATCATTTGACGAACCTCTACAGGGAGTTGACTGTAGAGGGGCGACGCATCCTGCTCCTTGGCAAAGCGCGGTGAGATGGGCAATGGGGGAAGAAATGGCACGAAGTTGCGCGCCTTGGTCATAAGCTTTTGGAAGCCGGAGGGAGTCGACATGGCGGATTGTCACAGAAGCAGCGCTTGTCGAAAACAGCACAGGCGGTTGCATTTCGATGGGGCAGTCGTTTTTGTTATTTAAAGGCCGCCCGGGCTGCACGGTAGGAATTCAAAAGCTGCACAGGTCACATTGCATGGCGTATGTATCTCTGGACCAACGCGCAAAGGCCACCCTGTTGCTGACACTAACCATGCGGTGTCATTCCCATACCAGCTATTCAATATGCAGCCCTCAATGAAGGACGATATGAAGAATTTTTTCTGAGCGCGTTGCTACCTGCTCCCCTGTTTGGGGCCGTCTCTGGGGGCGGACTTGGGGGCCGTTAGGACTTGGCGGCCAGGACATGGTGTACAACATCTAGGACTGCACACCCTCGATTGTTCTGGCATAATAGTGGTGTGCCTCAAGAAGCGGCACGTACCTCTGTCAGAAGGCTCGGTCAGGCACTCCAATCAATCGCGCTGCTTTGATCAATTATTCAGGTTTCGCTGCCTCGGCTATTCCTCTTCGTGATTCAGATAGCAACAGCAACGGTCTATCTCCCGTTGCACCCTTGGTCATACCGTTGATTCTTGCCGGTGACGCTTTAAGAATCATGAGTAGTGGATAGTATACGCAGTGTTCAACCATAAATGTTGTTTGCCAACAGTGGGATACTAAAAACAGAGTTTCAGTCGAGAGCAAATCAAGTCGGTGGACACTCCATTGTGATACTTACTCAGCGCGGGCAGTACATACCAATGTTCCCAAAGGGGTTGCCTATTCTCATCTATTGTGAGGGCATGATACGGATGGGCTTGAGTAGGTGGACATATGAAGGAGAAAGCTTTTGGCCCTTGTCAGGTAGAAGGAAATGCTATCTTCTCCGGGATTGACGGCCAAAACAATATATCGTAGTGAAACTTATAGCTTTGCCTCCCATGTAGGTAAATCAAATATCACGAAGGCTGAAATGAACGTGGAACTTCATACACAGGCAGAATCTCGAGGACTAGCAAGTTCTATGAGCCGTTGGACAAAAATATCTGTCAACACCCAGTACCATATCTTACGCCGCGAATGTCGTCTCCAATACTAACCCGAATCTCAAAGTAAACGCTGTTACTAAAACTTTTCCCTAAGAACACATCAATACGCCTCCGCTCTTGCATTGTCCGGTCGCTGCTGACACAAATATCGTTAGATACCTTACACTCAAAACTTGCATGCCAGAGCTTCTACTTTGGCCTCGACTCAACTGCGCTCTTGCCCCAGCGTATGTTTAGATCAGCATACCTGCATCACAAATAAAATTTCTTGATTGAGCCCTTCGCAGCCATAGTGTTTCTTGGAGGAATGAGCCTCGACCTGGAGCGGCTGCTGAAACCGGGCTTGGTTATTCCAAAGCGACTTGCATGCCTGCAACTGTTTTCACCATGCCACAACAACTGAGCAGTAATAGCAATTTGAATCTGAGCATGTGTTAAGGAAAATTAAAGTCGTGAATGCCGTACGGCCTGCTGTCAGCTGTCAAGAACCTCAAATCACAGTCCGATCCTATAGGCGTGCGCTTTCTAAGGTACAGTCAGGCTTCTATCCAGCATGTGCATCTTGCACTTCGCACTTATTATGTCTTTCGCCTGCGCTGCGGATGAGAACCGCGTATAAATTTGGTGG